GAACCTTCCCTGCACCTCTGAACCAGCTCACCCCAGGGTGGCTTCCCAGGCAACACTCAACTCCTGGGACTGGGAGAGGAGCAGGAGCAGACAGTTTAGGAGGAAATTAATTCATGTGCATGAACAAGCCTTGCAGACATCCTGCCATCTTAAAAGCAGCAGGAGATTTAAATGACCAAGCACTAGGATTTTCCCTTTAAAACTCATTTTCCCTAAAGCAGGGGTGTCAAACATGGGGCTACGTAGGCCGCATAATGCAACCCCTAGTGCTGCCCTGTTGACCCGCGCTCTGCACCGGACCAGCCCTGTGTGCAGGGCCAGGGACACACACTGACAACAGCACTCGCTGGGGCCAGGTCCCGGATGAACCCTGCCAGGTGCCACGTGCACTGGATCAGGCATGCAGCAGGGGGTCCACGGGTCTGAGCCAGGCAAGAGATGTTACAGAACATCTAACTATCACTAACCCACCCCTCTAACCACTCACCGGGCACAACCCCACCTGGGTCAGTCTCACACACGCATGAAGAGCACAGTTATACCGCGCTGCTCTCACGGGATGCCATGCCACAAGGAAGCGTGGCCAGCCTTGGGTTTTTAAGCAATACCCTGCTTCATTGCAATCTTCCCATGAATGTTTCGAATCATGCTGCAGTACATCGCCTGCCAGATTCAGACTCTATAGGAGGTGCCTGGTTGTTTATATCCTCCATTTAACTCCGGCTTTCTAGAAATGAAAACATCCACCCCAAGCTAGTGCTTTACAAATCCAGGAATGGCTCCAAGGCTTGTCTGGCAATTCTGAGAGACGTGTTTAGCTGAGATACGCTCTCTCCCATGCAATGTGCCCTAAACAGAAAGCCCTCCCCCTAGGAAACCACATTTCCTTTACTTCATGAAGCTAGACCATAAAACCAATTACCATCTCATCTTCTTCGCCTTTATTGACAAACTTCTTTTCTTCCTTCTCCATGTTGAGCGTGACGTGGAACTTCTCAACTTCAGGTATGGAAGACCTCTAAAAAGGGAAAGAGTAAAAACTGCTTAAGTAACGTTTTGTTCATTTTGCATCTTCTGCAACATCTTTGGTGCCGCCACGTTTACAGACGTGAAACACGACATCTGACCTGCTTTCATCGAACCCCAACAGAATTTCCAACCGTAGCTTAAAGCATTTTGCTTTCAAAATGCAGAAGTGTTCACTAAGTTTAAAAACATTTTTTCCAGCTCAGTTTTACCCTATCAGTCCCTAATTTGTTATTTAACAATTTCAAACAAGCATAACCGGAACTCCATTTTTGGCTCTCAATGCCTCACAAATATTTAGGATGTTACCGTGATAACACCCCTTAGGAGTATGAAAACGGCTTTATTTCAGAGATAGCAACTGAGGAGCGGAGAGATTCATGGCCACGTGGGCAATCTGTGCCAAAATTAGTATCTAAAACCACAGCTTCTAGGTGGAGTGCTTTGCCTACCAAGCCACTCTTCAGTCCATTTTGCTTGAAGCTGGCTGCAATACCTAAATGCATTTTTTGCTTAATGATATTCTTGTATCAAACTAAAACACTTACTTAGACACATACTGCTAGAGATCCTCATACTGCTCCATATTTGTTTTTATTGTGCCCTAATAATTTCTGTATCAGTCTAGTACACAAGACACCAAATCAGGAGCAGGGTAATTTTGTATTGTAGAAGGAAAGGCACTCCCTGGCCAGACATACTGTATTTTTTCACGTCTAGTGCAGCCCATATGCAGTAGGCACCTTGACTGTGAAGGGGAAAACTTACAAAAAAAAAATCTTCAATTGAGGTATGCGAGTGGCATCAGCTAGGGAGCCGTGCCTGCTCCCGAGGCTGCTGTGAGTGCTAGCTGGACTTGCAGTCAGACCTGGCATACCATATCCAGGGTCGCGTGTCAAGTCTGACCATGCACGCAGGCTCTGGAGCCACATGCCAGGTCGGACCCTGCGTGCCAAGGCCAGGACCACACGCCAGGTCTGGACCTGCACCCAGGTCTGACCCTGCACGCTGCCTCTGGGCCTGAGTGCCGAGAGTCTGTGCAGCGAGTCTGGGTCAGACCCGGTATGTGGCTCCAGAGCCAGCGCGCAGTCAGACCCGACATGCCAGGTCTGAGGCCGCGTGCTGGGTTGCACCCATCACACCAAGTCCAGCCACAAACCGACCCTGCGCACCAACCTGATGCAGCACGCAGCTGAGGAGGGGACCTCCTGATGTGTCCAGAAATTTGGTGGTAGGGAGCTGGGGGAGGGAGTAGTACTAAGTAGCAATGTTAATTGCTGTGGCTCCCACCTTCCACCGCTACAAATCTCCCCTCACCAAATTTCTGGACCTGTGGGGGTCCCTCATCCTTGCATATAATGTACACCCCAATTTTCCCCAGCTGGCTTTGGGAGGAAGGTGCGGGTCATATGCAAGAGAATATGGCAGGTCTTTCCCAACTGGAGAGAGACAAACAACCGTAAGAGAACAGGAGAAGCCAGAGAAGGGACATGGGCACCTGATGTACTGTCACGCGGGTGCCTGCATTAATAATGTCCCGTGCTCAATGCCTCTGAACCATTAGAAAGGTTCTGCCTTTTCTAATTGGATATGAACTACCCCAAACGTCAGTGTGCTCAGACAACGTAGCCGGGCAGTGCTTTGCATGTTGCACAGCAGCATCTGGGGAGCAGGCAGAAGAGCCGGGGAGGAGTGTGGCCTAAACTGCTGAGCTGCCTGCAGGACGCACACGTAGGCATCCTTTATTCTGATTAAAATGCCCCACACTACTATGCTCACAAAGCATTTCAGCACTGCATAAGAAGCTATGCAAATGCTCACAAAAGTAAAGAAGTGCCAGAATTTCTTCTACAACCTTCATTTGGCCCCTAGGGCATGTGCATTATCTACCGTCATTACCTACATGCCTGCACTTGATCCTAGCCCACAAGAGGCGAGAAACCACCCCCAAAGCCATTCTCCTGTTTGCTCTACAGCGCAGGCAGTGATCACTTAAAGGAGTGACCGCTGCACTGCACTTGGTTATAGTTAATTTGCTGAGCATCAGCTAATTAAACATTGTTTCACAAGTGCCCTGAAGGCTGAAGGGCTGCTACCATGCCTGTGCTTCAGACAGGAAACAGAGGCAGCGAGTGTTTCAGGATAAAGTAAAATTAATTTTGCATGCCCCAGTGAAGATACCTAGGACCTGACTTGTTCCAGTACTAGCCAGGATGCAGCACCTCCCATCACCAAAAGCACAGCTCCCACTGTCCCCAACTGCGACACTTCTGCAAATCAGACCCCTGGTTCTCAAGTCTGGCACTCAGGGAACATCATTAGTGAACAGCGTGATCTACGCCACTGGATGAACAAACAGGAATGCTGTAGCACAGGCAAGAAGGGACCTGCTTCTCCAACCTGCCTATTCACTATGCACCCTCCAGCCCCTGAAACAAAAGACAGGGACCTAGAGCCAGTCTCCTTCACCACGCTACCCTGTCTTAGCATAAGTCCTCCCCAGAACAGGTTTGCCCTGTGTGCAGAATGAGGCAGGGGCACTCTGGAAAAAACAAATCATATGAAATGAAAGACTGCAGCATGAGGCACATGCAAGGGCATCTGCACGAATGACTGAAGCTTTCCATAAAATCAGCACCATTTACAGTCAGCTGAATGGATGAGTCAATGCTTTTCCATGCTCATTTAGACCAACTAAATAACCTCTGTCTGCTGAATTAGTTTGTCAGAACTCCAATAGAAGCTAATCTCCATCTGCAGTTTAGTTTAAAGAATCAGCAAAAGAACAGACACCGCACAAACATGCCTCTCTAGAACCGCTTCAGTTTTTCCTAATGATAATATACTATACTTAAAAGTCCATTCAGACAACTTACTATGTTCCTGTATCCAAGGACTCTTGAGTTAAATGCCTAAACAGGTAAGAATACAAATTGAGATTCCCACGGCATGCTAAATTGAAATGTGTATACCACGAGGCCATCCAATGTTAAAAGCTGCAGAAGTACATTCCTACTGATATAGTCAGACTTGTAAAAATAAAAGTTACACATGATTGCTTCACTGAATGTACAATCATTAAACCACACGTTTAGTTTTTATTGTCACAAGCACGTTCTGCAAAACACAGATTAATTAATGAGCCTTCTTGAAACAGAGGGTGAAAAAAGCCTCTGGAAACCTTGTTAGCAAAGACTGTCCTAAATTCATGAACAGGTGCTAACAAAATTCACAAGGCTGACTTTTGGATTAACACAGTCTATTCTATCCAACGCAGATTAATTTTAAAGAGCCTTCTTTTAAATAAGAAAAAAAAAAGCCTTGGAAAACTTGTAAGCAGAGACTGTCCTGAATTCATGAATGACTGCAAACAAAATTCACAAGACTGACCTTTGGATTAAGCAAATAAGTCTAAAGCAAGTTTACGCAAACATCACAAATCAGTTTATGTCTCTTTCTTCAGGCTATATATACACGTCTATATAGTTTCTCTAATTGAATTAATGTGATTCATATACTAATAATCTAATATAACTTAATACTATGCATTTAAGACATTTATTTACATCTACATATACACACACATATATATATACACACACAATAATAAAATAAATAATTGAGAAAAGGTGCAAATGCCTTGTATACTGTGGCCTGTAGCAGATTTACACCAATCTTCAGAAATTGGTGTAAATCAGAATCTTTATTCTGATTTATTCAGAGTCTTTATTTATACAGGAAGTAATTCAAAAATGAATGCCAACCCATGTGACAGACACACTGTGCTAAGAGTAACCCTGCCCGAAGGCAGAGTTCGGTTCCTAATGAGAACATCAAGCCCCAGCAATGGATATTCACCTGGACATAAACTGCCAACCGTGATAACGTCTGTTTGTACGTCAGGAACGCAAACTAGGAATCTAAGGGCATTGTCCTATGTGGTAGCATCCCAAGGCACAGCAATGAAGGGATTACGGCTTTCAGCGTGGAAAGGAAAATCATGGTGAAGAAAATGCTGTACCTTTAAAACATAATACAACTGTTACAAGCTATTTCCTCATAAAAAATTTACCTTCTCTTCTAATGTAAATGCACAGTACCGTAACATGTAGCCAACCAAACCCACAAAGGCCATGTGTTGCAATGCAAATACATGCATATCTTCCACAATGTCAGAAAGCCGTTGCAGCTGGCAAAGTGTACTTTCCACGGCAACCCTTGGCACAGCAGTTTCAAATGGGACACATGAGTAAGAACTATACAAGTGAAAAAGGGTTTGAACTGAAAAATACCCCCAAGACTTGGAACAGCTCTAAAACCACGTAATTTATACAAATCTGAGCGCAGCACCTACGCACTTGATCTCTGCCTCCCCCATGACTCGCACAGAGTGACCAAAATTCCTGCGGGGTGACAAGCTTTTCCACGTGCTCCTTAACAACAAGAGCTAGGCAAGCTGAAGACTTAAACAATCCCCAACTCTGAAGGATGCTGAGGCATAAACAAGTTTGGCCTTTATGCAAGAAGACAAGAATGCAGGAAAAACAACCCCAGGAGTTAGTTTGCAAAAGGGTGCCCTTGTCCTACATCACGTCTTACGCAACCAATCTGACACTTCCTACGTACAAAAGTTACCCTATGTCTGGCCTATAGATGAAAAAGCCTTATTTCAGTGCTAGACAAAGATAGTACATAAAAGCCACTAAAGACCATTAAATAATATTTAGTTGGTCTAATAAAAGATATGACATCTACCCAAAGACCCTCGCCTGCCTAAAGACCATTAACAAACAACACTCTGACACCACCTACTACAAAGAACTACAGGAAGATCCTACTCCCCTTTTCACCAAGAAGCTCAACAATACCATCAAATCATTTCCATCAGGACTACAAAAAAAACTACAGACCTTGATCCCCCCGGTATCTACTAACCCAGGGACTTCTTACATGCTCCCTAAAATCCACAAACAAGGGAACCCTGACAGACCT